TTGGGCCTGAACATGTATTAATTTTAGTCAGAAATAAATGTTTTTCTTGAAAAAAAATTTCATATTTTAGCTTAAAAATGGAAGAGTTTTTTCTAGGTGTTTGCATGTCTAGGAGAGACAAGTGGAGAGCTCCATAATGATCCCCACAAACAATAATTAAACCGCAAACACCCCCCAGTGGGGCTGCGGGCTCAGCCAGTGGGGATCTCCAGGCTCCCCTCCCCTCCCCCACCTGCCCCAGGGGTCAGAGCTGTGTGAGGCCCAGGGACCCCCAGCTCTGGAATAAGCTGCCTGCAGAAAGGGTGGGATAAACGACAAGGGAAACCCCCGCAAGTCCCCGAGCCCTGGGCTGCAGCCACCCACCTCCTTGTGTCCCCTCCCCCAGTGCAGCTGGCCCTGGACGCTGCTGGAACTGGGGTGACCCGGTGGGGACCCCATGCTCTCTGCTCTTCTCCCTCCCCTCCCCCAGGGGCCGAGGAGCCAGAGGACCGGACTGACAGGCGCAGGTGCTGCAGGAGGCGGGGCTAACAGCTCGAGGCTTAAAGGACCCGGCAGGGGCTCCGTGTTGGCCTGGGGGTCAGATGTCTCTCCAGGATGGGGACAGGCGCGTGGGCTGCTATTCCTGGGCTCCGATAGCGGCTATTTATAGCGCTTGGGGGAGCCTCCCCACACAGGCGGCAGAGGAGCTGCACTGCTGCACTGTCACCGTCCGCTCGGCTGCGGCTGGCTGCCGGCACCTGCCACCCTGCAGGGGACAGAGGGGCTCCGTGCCGGCCAGATGGGCAGCACCATGGAGCCCCCCGGGGGTGCATACCTACACCTGGGCGCCGTGACGTCCCCAGTGGGCACGGCCCGCGTGCTGCAGCTGGCCTTCGGCTGCACCACCTTCAGCCTGGTGGCGCACAGGGGAGGCTTCTCGGGCGTCCAGGGCACCTTCTGCATGGCTGCCTGGGGCTTCTGCTTCTCCCTCTCCGTGCTGGTGGTGGCCTGCGAGTTCACGCGGCTCCACGGCTGCCTGCGGCTCTCCTGGGGCAACTTCACCGCGGCCTTCGCCATGCTGGCCACCCTGCTGTGCGCCACGGCTGCTGTCGTATACCCGCTGTACTTCACACGGTGGGAGTGCCCGCCTGAGCCAGCCGGCTGTGCCGCCAGGGACTTCCGCTTGGCGGCCAGCGTCTTCGCCGGGCTCCTCTTCCTGGCCTATGCTACGGAGGTGGCCCTGACTCGGGCCCGGCCCGGCCAGGTGGCCAGCTACATGGCCACAGTATCAGGGCTGCTCAAGATTGTCCAGGCCTTCGTGGCCTGCATCATCTTTGGGGCACTGGTTCACGACAGCCGCTACGGGCGCTACGCGGCCACCCAGTGGTGTGTGGCTGTCTACAGCCTGTGCTTCCTGGCCACGGTGGCCGTGGTGGCCCTGAGCGTGATGGGCCACACGGGGGGCCTGGGCTTCCCCTTCGACCGCCTGGTGGTGGTGTACACCCTCCTGGCCGTACTGCTGTACCTCAGCGCCGCTGTGATCTGGCCCGTCTTCTGCTTTGACCCCAAGTACGGCGAGCCCGGCCGGCCGCCCGACTGCCCGCGTGGCAGATGCCCCTGGGACAGCCAGCTGGTGGTGGCCGTCTTCACCTACGTCAACCTGCTGCTCTACGTCGCCGACCTGGCCTACTCCCAGAGGATCCGCTTTGTGCCCACGCTGTAGCCTGGCGGCAGCAGCCCACCCACCTGCACTCTCTGCCGGGGGCACCAGGTACTGTGAAGGCTGAGCTGGGTGAACCGAGACCTCAGGGAGAAAGCAGGAGGGCAGCTGGGGGCGCAGGGCAGACGCGGTGCCGCGAAGGGACGCGCTGGCTGCCGCACTTGTGGCAGAGGCAGGGCAGGGGGCGGAGCCTCCCCTCCCGCAGCCCAAGGCTCTCCTCTCTCTCCCCCTCTCGCCATCTCCCAGCCCTCCCTGGGCTCAGCACTGGTTGCTGTACCACGTGGGAAATCTTAGAGCAAATGTTGTCACGACCCATTTTGCAGGTGGAAACTCTGAGGCTAGAAGGGTTTGAGAGGCTCTCGGTACATCTGTCAGTATCTGGGGCCCACACACAGGCTGGGCAATACCAGTTGAAAAAGGAATGACTTCCGGACTTGCAAGAAAGGGCTGGAAACGGACCCAGGAGAGCACCAGAGCCAAGTCAGCTGAGGGAGGGGTGTGAAGGGGCAGCTCTGGAGCCCTGGGAGGAGAGCCCTGCCTGGAGGCGGTCAGCCGGCACAGCAGCTGGGAAATCTGGACTGGCATCTCTCCCCTCTGGGGAGCCTCCCAGTGGCCACAGCACTGAAAGCAGAGTGAGGACTGTGCTATGTCACACAAGGCTGCCTCCCGGGGGGATCCTTGGGCTGTGGGTGGCACAGGTAGCCTGCAAGGCCCTGCAGAGGCCAGCGGCACCACCAGGACCATGGCGTGCTGAGGAGGAGCTGGTTCCAACCTGGTGACAGAGCCCCGACCTGGACACCCACCCTCGGCTGTGACACAGCAGCTTCGGCTGCGGCCTGGTGAGCCACACTGGCCCAAGCCAGGGCCTGGCCTGGGGCAGCCTCTGGGTCAAAGCTGGGGCACTGCACACCTCTGCTCAAGGGTCCAGCTGCCGGCCACCAGGGCCATCATCCCCCAGGCTCCAGCCAGCTCCTCCTGCACAAGAACCCGGACCGGACCAGCCTGGAGCAGGCCCACCAGCCACTCCCGAGAGCAGGGTGGGGGCAGCAGCACAGCTGCCCCTCAGGCCAGTGACTGGCCCTGGGGTCCTGGAGCAGGAAATAAATGTCAGTGTGGACTTGTACCCTGGCTCTGGCTAAGAAGTCTCTACCGAGGGGCTGTGGCCACTTGTACCTCCTGGGCCACCCTTGCCAGCACGCTTGGAAGAAGGGCCCGGATGAGGAGGGAAGTGGCCCTTGGGGTGCCCGCGCTCTGAGCTACAGGCACAACCGGGCCTTGCCCCCGCAGGAGGGGCAACTGGTGTCCTCACCCTTGGGTGGGTGAGGCCAGGGTGGGCAGAGAGGAATGGAGGTCTGGTTCATCCTCCCCTTCCCAGGGACCCTCAGCACTCACCCCCATCTGGGGGTCTCCAGGGGTCCCAGGCGTGGGCGTGGGCAGAGGGGTCGCTGCGCCTCCTGTGCAGCGGACCCTACGCATGGACTCTGCAGGCTGGAAGCCAGGCCCTGCGCCGGTGCCATGCATGTGAGACTAGTGGCCTCCACCAGCTCACTGGGAGGTCACGCTCTGGTCAGCCAACTAACAGGGTCTGGCCTGATGTCCTTTGTGTGGAGGGGTGGTGTTTTGGGCTCAGTGGTAGAGCCCTGGTGGGGGCAGTGAGCCGCTGGGTCTGCAGGTGTCCTGAGGGCCCCTGCTGGCTGAGGGGTGGGGGCCAGGGACCATTTAACCATGTGACAAAGGAGCATATGGACCACGTGCTCCCCAACTCCCAGGGAGGCCCGGACACCAGCCTCAGGGGGACCCTGCTTTGCCCTGTGCTTCCTCTACTGGCTCAAATTCTGTCACCCCTTCCGGACTTCCTTCCTGTCCAGTGGCTTCTGCCCCCAGGACCCCACCCAACCTGAATCTCAAAGGTCCTGAGAGACAGAGAGGGGAGGGGACCCAGGGCGACAGGCAGGTCTCGCAGGAAGCTCACCTGGGAGGCGGTACTGTGGGTGGTTTGCTCCCGGGACCAGAGGGCTGTCCTTTCTGGACAAGCACTTGCACAGCTCCTCCCTCAGAGGCGGGGACTAAACTCCCTGCTGTCCAGGTGGTCACTTTAGAGCAGTGTCCCAGTGTCAGTGGTGGTCACTTAGGTGCATAGTCACCTGCCTCCAGAGCAGAAACGTGCCTGTCACTCTGAAACTGTGCGCTGCAACATCAGCTAAGACGCTACGTAACAGAAACTGAAGCAGCTCACCTCTGCCCTTGGTGGGGGCTGGGCTGTCGATGACCACTTCTTACTTCGCCCTCAGTCCTGCTCCTGACAGGACCCCAGACCACCCCGAAGCCCACATGCTCTGAGCGTTTCCTTGGGGAAAATGACCAGAGCCTTAGACTCCCTGAAACCCAGGGCCAAAATACTCCACAGGCTCTGCAGGGAGAGGGCAGGGACTCGGGGAGCACAGAGGCTCCTCTGTTCACTAGGTGACCACCAAGCCCGGGTGGTGGCAGGGAGTGGTGCAGCTCTTGAAGGCACCCTGCGCCTGAGACTCCGCAGACTAGAAAGCACCAGGTGGGCAGAAGGGAGTCCGGATGGCGGGGCCTGACCTGGACTATGCTGGTACCTCACAATTTTGAGATTTTAAGAATTTAACAGTCTCTGGAGGGCCTTCCTAGGCCCAGAGGGGCCTGCGCCATCCAACCTCCTGATGCAGTAAATAACTTTAAAAATGACAAAATACAATATCAAAATAGTGACATATTTTAAATGTTTTCACCGGCAAACTATTTTTCGACCCTGCTCCCTCCCAAAATAAGGAAAAAGAAAACGTCGTAAATGACGGCGCCGGTGAAAGGCATTGGTTCCCCAGAGCGCAGGGACCCCAGCCGGAGCGCACGGCAGAGCCTCACGTCGGGAGCTCCTCGCAGGGCCCCTCGGGCCGCTCCCTTCGCTAGGAGCCCTCAGACCCCACATGCGGATCCCGGGGCCGGGGGCGCGGGGAGAGACGCGTGTCAGGGGGTCGCGAGGGAAGAAGCGGGTCCGAGGGTCGTTGGTCTGGGGGGCGCGGGTCCGGGGGGCGCGGGAGGAGACGTGGGTCTGGGGGGGGCGCGGGTCTGGGGGTCGCAGGGGACGCGCGGGGGAGCAGGGCTGGTCAGCCGCCGCATGGGCCAGGGCGCGGATGATGCAACCGCCCCGGGCGCCGCCGCAGCTCCCGATTGGCCGGCGCCCAGCGGCTGCGCCTCCCGATTGGCTGGGGCGGCGGGGGCGGGGCTGGCAGGCGCGGTGCCGCGTGGCCGCCGTGGCGGGCGCGGCGTGGCGGGCGCAGCTCCTGGGCGCCTTGCGCGGGGTAGCTGGGCTGGGGTCGGGGCCTGGGGCTGGCGGGCGGCGGTCGCGGGGCGGAAGGAGATGCGCGTGGACGTCCCCGGCTCGGGCGGGGCGGGAGTCCGAACGGCGCCCCTCGGGCGCCGGTCCTCGCCCGCTCTTCCCCTTTCCCGGGGGCGCCCCGTTCGGCTCCTGAACCCCTCCGAAGGGGTCTGACCCTCGTCGGCAGGCCCGGGGCCGCTGTGGGCGGGGCTTTTGGGCGGAAAAGGGGAAAGTTGGAACAGACCGGGGTAAGGGGCGCGCGGCCGCCGAGGAGTGACGAGCCCGGCACTGCCCACCAAACGTGCTCTCCGTCCGGTCCGGTCTCGTCCCGCAGCTGTCCCCGCAGAGCCGTGCCAGCGCTGAGGGCTGTGGGCCGGGGGCCTCTGGACATCATGAGCGTGGGCTTCATTGGGGCCGGCCAGTTGGCCTTTGCCCTGGCCAAGGGCTTCACAGCAGCAGGTAGGCCGCGGGCCTGGGTGGGCGCTGCGTGGGGTGTGGGTCTCAAGGCCAGTCTTGCGGGAAATGCCAGGTTCCATATGTTTGGGGCTGGTAGGAGGGAGAGGTGGAGTTTTTCTCCACTCTCCTTGGGAATGTGGGGGAGGGAGGCCAGAACTGTCCCTGAGGGAGGAACTCTGGCCCTCACAGGTGTCCTGGCCGCCCACAAGATAATGGCCAGCTCCCCAGACATGGAACTGGCCACGGTGTCTGCTCTCAGGGTAAGTGCAGGCTGGAGGACAGGCAGGAAGGCTGCGTCTCTACAGGGCCGGCTGGGGGAGGGGGGCGAGACCCTTCTGACAGTGAAGGTGGGGTGGGGGGTGTGCTGCAGTCCCACCCTAGTGAGAGCAGGGATCTCAGCTGGGGTGTCGAACAGACCCTCCTCACCCCGCTTGTGGCTCCCCTGGGAAGCTCTCTGGGACCTGGGTGGTGGGCGTGTGTACTGCTGATGGAGCGGGTGTTGGCGTGGAATGGGGTTCCCTGCACGGGGTCAAAGTTTGAGCAGGGGTCCTCTGGGGCCACAGTCTGGAGGCCCAACAGCATACCTGGGACTGAGCACAGCTTTGGTTTGCCAAGGCTGGGCAGGGTTTCCGATCCAAGGGGGGCAGCCTCCCAGCTGGACACCACCACCCGCACCTGGAGGCCGGGGGTCTGCAGGGGCTGCAGGCCAGGGTGGGGTAAGCCAGGGCTGTGACACAGATGGAGTGTTCCTTTTCTGTCTGTAAAAGGGACACATTCCAGAGCAGAAAGGTTTGTTCACTCCTGGGTGTGAAGGGTACTTGGGGGAGGGTCAGAGCCTCGTGGCCTCAGCCCCCAGTCTTGCCCACACCCACACCCCAGCAGTCTCTGCTGATTTCCATGCAGGGCTCATGGCTGGGGGGAGCCGGGAGGGGGTGGCTGGGGGGGCCAGACAGCCACAGTAGCAGGCTCAGCCCACTTTGGCCCCCCCCACAGAAGCTGGGGGTAAACCTGACACCCCACAACAAGGAGACGGTGCAGCACAGTGATGTGCTGTTCCTGGCAGTGAAGCCACACATCATTCCCTTCATCCTGGACGAGATTGGTGCCGACATTGAGGACAGACACATTGTGGTGTCCTGCGCGGCTGGGGTCACCATCAGCTCCATTGAGAAGGTGGGCTCTGAGGGCCGGGCCCGGCGGGGTCTGGGGAGGGGTGCCAGTGCGTGCTGCAGAGTGGGCACATACCTTGGCTCTCTCGAGGCTCAGTTCTCTGTGAAAGGGGTACAGTGCCCTGACCCACAGCAGAACTCAGGACTTTGCAGGTGGGGGACCGTGTAGACACACCACACGTGAGGCCAGGGTGGACATAGCTGGTTTCTCCTCCAGAAGCTGCGGGTGTTCCAGCCAGCCCCCAAGGTCATCCGCTGCATGACCAACACCCCAGTTGTGGTGCGAGAGGGGGCCACTGTGTATGCCACGGGCACACACGCCCAGGTGGAGGACGGCCAGCTCCTCGAGCAGCTCCTGGGCAGCGTGGGCTTCTGCACGGAGGTGGAGGAAGACCTGATCGACGCCGTCACGGGGCTCAGTGGCAGTGGCCCTGCCTACGTGAGGACTGTGGGTGGCTGGTGGCAGTGGGCACTTCCCAGGACCTCAGTGTACATCTGTCACTCCTTCCCTGGGGGGTCGGTGCGAGGGCTCCAAGGCTGTGGGAACCGGTGCTTTGCCCTCTTCCTTCCCCTCGTCCTTGCTCCAGGCCCTGAGGGCATTGCCCAGAGGAGAGGCTCAGGACAGCGGTTCAGGGGCCTTCTCCCACAGGCGTTCACAGCTCTGGATGCCCTGGCCGATGGGGGCGTGAAGATGGGGCTTCCAAGGCGCCTGGCAGTCCGCCTCGGGGCTCAGGCCCTACTGGTCAGTTTGTTTCCTGACCCTCTTGTGGAGGCTGCTCCTTGCAGGGCGCCGAGGCTGCGCTGGGTGCGGTGGGTGGGGAGGTGGTGGGTGCCATGGTGGCTGGGGGCAGTGCCCTGCAGAGGCAGGTTGGTGCCCCACAGCTGTCAACCTCTTTCTGGCTACAGGGGGCTGCCAAGATGTTACTGGCCTCAGAGCAGCACCCGGGCCAGCTCAAGGACAACGTCTGCTCTCCCGGCGGGGCCACCATCCACGCCCTGCACGTGCTGGAGAGTGGGGGCTTCCGCTCCCTGCTCATCAACGCTGTGGAGGCCTCCTGCATCCGGACACGGTGGGCCCCGGTGGCCGCTCCCAGCCACCTGCCCTGGTGGAGCGGAGCCCTTGGTCTTGCACATGTCTGCTCAGTCGTTCACTCAGCATGTCTTCGTTGAGCCCTGGGCCGGCACTGGTTCCCCAGGTTACCACTTGCAGTGCCCTCGTATCTTCCATCGTTCTTTGAGGAGGGGATGTTCACAGAGGTGACGGGCAGCCTCCTCTGGGTGTCCCCTGTGCCCCCACAGTGTCATTGTCATCATGGCCAGGATGACCACACAAGCCAGGGAGCTGGACCAGTGTGGTGGCCAGGCATGTTAGGGACCCTCTGCGGGTCCGGTTGCAGCCCCTTCCTCCTGGCCTTGCCAGGGGTTGAGTGAATGAACAAGCGTGTACGCAGCGACGTCCGGCATGAGGGGAGCTCAGCAAGAGTTGGAAGAAAACCAGAGGGTGGGAGGAGAGAGTCTGGTGTCTTGCATGGGATCCTGCAGCTGGGAGTTGCTGTCCCCAGGTCAGGGTGCAGGGTGGACGGGGCATCTTCCTCACCACGTGGCCACTCTCCAGTCCAGACACCCCTGAGTGTCCCTCCCTGACGGCCACGCGAGAGCTCGCCAGGCCTGCCTGCCCCCCACTGGCCCTCGGGAGACAGGCATGAGCACGTGTCCCGCAGTGGGCGAAGAGGGCTCAGGTCTGGGGGCACCGTGGGTAGGTGTGGGGACCCTGAGCCAGCGTGATGTCAGGGAGGGTGTAGCTGGCAGAGGGACTGCAGGTGTGAAGGCCCTGAGGTGGGATGACAGCACAGGAACCCCCTGGGCCAGCAGGAACTGGGCGCTGTGGGCTTCGCTCCCTCTTCCCTGGTGCAGCCTTGGGCTCCAGAAGGAGGGAGCGCCCTGGACCAACTCCTCACTGCCTCTCCAGGGAGCTGCAGTCCATGGCTGACCGGGAGAAGGTCTCGCCAGCCGCCATCAAGAAGACTATCCTGGACAAGGTGAAGCTGGACTCCCCTGCGGAGGCCTCTTTGTCCCCTTCTGGACACACCAAGCTGTTCCCCCGCAGCCTGGCCCCGGCAGGCAAGAAGGACTGATGTGTCCGGTCTGCCCACCATGCTGCCTCCACTTTCTGTGCTCTCCTCACTCAAAGCTCCTGTGCTGGGGGTCTCCAGCTAGGCCTTGCAGAGCGTCCCCACAGTGGCCAGCCACCCGTGGCCCTGATCAGCTCAGGGGTCAGCTGGGGTCTGAGCCAGCGGCCTGGCTCATTTGCCAGTGGAAATCTCCACGTCTCCAAGTGCTTCCCACCCAGGACAGAGAACAGAGGTGGATCCTCTGACCTCAGCCTCCCTTTGCCTCTGCGCCCAAACCAAGTCAGGACCCCCTTCCTCTGGGAGCTCAGGAGGCCTGGAGGGTCTTCACCCATTCCTACCTCCAGTGTCAGCTGGTTCAGGCCTGGTTCTTTCCCGTCTCCTGCTGCCTTCCCTGCCGCCACTCACGGGGAGTTGCCTGTCCTTGCGCGGGGCCCAGAGGGTCCCAGGCATGAGGGACCACAGCTCCTCTTGGCCAGCTGCCAGGCACCCGTGTTCCCATTGGACATTTGAGAAAAGGGCTCCTCAGATAACTCATGAACTTCCTGCTGCCACCAGCACTCAAGCCACCATCCCCTGTTCCTGGCCCAACTGGCGGGATGCTGTCACTCCAGCCCTCTACATTATATAAATTGGTTTCCAGCCCTCAGTGCCCCGACTTGTTTGTTGCCACTTGTGGAGGGAGGCCTCTACCTGTGCTAGAGGGCTGGCTACTAGAGGCTGAGCCAGTGACCCACACCCCAGAGCCCTGAGGTCTGGTGGCAGCCAGGCTGGCCAGTGGGTCTGAGAGTCTCCCTGCTTCTGGGGTGGGGTGCCACCAGGCCCCAGTCATTAGAGGCCTGCCTGGAGGATGGCACTGCGGGCTGGGCTTGGTGTGCTCTGCTGTGGGAGGGGCACTGGCTGCTGCATCCCCCACCCTCCCCGCAGATGTCTCCCCGCGCGCTCAGGCCAGGCAGGGCCAGGTTCCTGGTGAGGAAGGAACTGTCTAGGGCAGGGTACTAGGGTTCTCCAGAGAGACAGGAGAAACAAGACACACGTAGAGATGTGTAAATATGGAAGGATTAGAGTCTAAGAAATTGGTGCACATGGTTACAGAAGCTGGCAAGTTCAACCCAGAGGGCCAGCAGGCTGGAGGAGCACATGCTCACACTCAGAATAGCGTTGGACCAAATATCTGGGCACCCTGCAGCCCCAGTCAAGTGGACACACAAGATTAGTCCTCTCAGGAGGCCCCCCAGAGCAGAGGAGCTGCTGAGAGCTGGGTTGGAGTGCTCGTTTCTCCAAGCAACCAACAGATACTGAGTAAGTGAGATGAGGCCTCTTCCCTCCAGAGGACACAGGAGCATGAGGGTAGCCGGGCCGGGCGTCTGCAGTGGGCTCCCCTGTGGGTCGAGAGTGGATGGGCGGGCTCCTGAGAAGAGGTTTCCAGGAACTTCACCACAGAGTCCTGTTTCTAGAGACCCCATAGGCCACTGCAGAACTAGGGCTTGATATGTATGAGGAGGGTGGAGGGACAATTGGAGACAAGAATTTAGTCCTTGAAGTCGAAGGGGAGATGGCCAGGTACAGTGGCTCATGCCTTTAATCCTAGCACTCTGGGAGTCATAGGCGGGAGGATCACTTGAGCTCAGGAAGTTGATGACACCAGCCTGGGCAATAGTGAGACCCCATCTCTACGAAAAGTAAAAAAACTTAGCGAGGTGTGTGGCGCACACCTGTAGTCCCAGCTACTTGGGAGGCCAAGGCAGAGGATCATTTGAGCCCAGGCATTGGAGGTTGCAGAGAGCTATGATTGTGCTACTGCGCTCCACCCCAGTGACAGCAAGACTCTGTCTCTAAAAAAAACCTAAGAGGAGAGAGGAGACACGTGGGCCAAGTGAAGAAAATGTCCAGCTCTGCCAATGAGGACACGAATGAATCTTTTGCTGTGGTAGCCACGAGCATCCCAGTAGCTCCACTTGTACCGAGGGCCACCACTCCCAGACATGGAGGTGAAGCTAGGTGGGGTGGACCCTGCTGTCGGGCTGGGATCCAGCAGCCCGAGAGGTCAGCTGTGGGCACAGCCAGCCGGTGTAGGGCTCCTCCTAAAGCAGGGGCCCCGGCACAGGCCCCCATCCAGTGTGGGGAGACGTGGGTACTGGGGTGGGCGGGGAAGTCCTCAGCATCAGGGCTGTGAGCAGCTAGAAGCACCCCCTGCCCCAGCACAGTGCCTGGCGGTGCTGGGAGACCCGGATGCAAAGATGCCCCTGGAAGAGATTGTCCCTCAGGCTATGCCACCCCAAGACCAAAGCTGTCCCCTTATTGGTCCTTTCAAGTCAAGGCTAGTTTCACTGTTGGAGCACCTAATCTGTAAGAAGAGGGGCACGGTGCTCCCAGAGATGCTCCTGGTCTGGAGATACTAGGGAAGCCTGCAGGCAAGTCAAGTGGTTAAAGTGGGGCAGAGGTACGTCATGGGCCCTGGAGGAAGGACGAGGGTTGGGGGCCAGGGGCCAGGCAGGCCTTGCAGGGAGGCATTTGTGCCAACCTGTGAAGGACGAGCTGGAATTCAGCAGGAAGGCCCGTGAACCTCCTGCCATGGTTCCTGATGAAACAAAAGACTGCAGGTGGGACTGGGGCAGAGCCAGAGCGAGCCCGAAGGCTTTTGATATGAGTGCAGCGGTGGACGCCCAGGAGGCCACTGTGAGCGTGAGGACAGGCCCAACCGGGGCCGGGATATGTTTTGTGTGGGTCCAGAGCAGGCTGAGGGGGGAGGTGGCTCTGAGAGCCAGGGACCTAGGGAACACCTGCTGGGAAGTGTCAATGTTGCCATGGAGAGGTGCCACCGCAGGGACCCCACTGGCCAAGGGTCAGCTGGATGGTGCTTTCCTGGCCCTACTATCCCTGACACCCAGTCCTGAAAGCCACCCACCAAAATGAAGCAGAGCTTGGAGTGAGTCCTGCTGCACCTTGGCCCAACAGACCGGGTGACCCCTGGTGGAAAAGCTGGCTCCCTCTGCTTGGTCCAGCTGTGCCTCAGTTTCCTGACTGGAAGTGCCCTGGACTCTAGCCTGCCTGGCTGGGGCCCTTACCATGTCCACTTCTTTCATTCCTTTCCTGCGCCAGGCTGACCCCTGTCCCTGGCACTTGTGCAGGCCAGGCTCAGGCTCCAGAACAAATGGGTCAGCAGCCCCTGGCCAGGCAGGGAAGGGAAATGTCCACCCCGGGATGGGCCCATCTGTGTGCATGGAGACCAGGGAGACCAGAGCTGGTCCCTGTTTGGGAGTGGCTGCCTGCTGAATCCCATGTACTCTGAGTCTCCCAGCAGCGTCAGGTGGGACAACAGGGTCCTAAGGTCAGCTCCATGGAAGGTGCAGCTTGGGGCTGGGTGGATGTTTGGGAAGGTGCCTGTGGGAGGGCAGCACCGGCTGCATCAGGAACCGAGGTGCTGGAGGTGCAGAGAAATCCAGACCAGCGAGCCAGGCCTGGGTGGCTGCCCCTGGAAAGCAGCTATGGAAGCTGGGGGTGGAGATGACCGTGTGGAGTGAGGATGCCCTAAAATCTCCAGGCTTCTCAACAGAATAGCCTTTAGCCACTATAGTAGCCTTATGGGCTTTGGCCCAAGCAAGGCTGCGACACTATTTCCAGGGACAAGTGTCCCGGACTCCGTGTGGGTAGCCGGCCAGGAGACTGTAGGACAGGTGAGACTTGTATGCCACGGCCAGCTCTGCCCCTTACCAACTGCAGACCATCTTGGTGTTTTGAGCCGTTCCAATGCCGTACCTCCTCTCCCTACATGTGCAAACACACCTACCATCTGCTCTCTGCAGGTGGTCAGCACCCTATCCACCCTGAAGACACTTCTAGGGCAGGCGACAGCCAGGGAGCCTCCTGGAGTGTCCTCCTGCTGGTCCGGGGCATCACTGTGACTGCCCAGCAAGGGGAGGAGCAAGACTCCTTCCCAAGGGTGGCAGAAAGCACGACGGTAAAGATGATTCAGGAACTGGCCTCCCAGCGGGCTCCGATGTGTTAATGAAGACCAGACTTGGTCCTGTGAGGAGCATGGAGCCCAGTGCGGGAACACAAGTGGGAGTTAGCCCAGTACGCGTCCACCCTGGTGGCTGCCCTCAGGCCCAGGACCAATTTCCCGTGTGTCTCCTGGTGGCACTGTGGTCCCAGCTCCAGCTGTGTGGCACCAAGGACAGGGAGGTGCAATTCAACAGCTGGGTCCTGACGTGACTCTGGGTGGCCTGCCAGGACCCTGGTGGGTGGACTTGGTCCTCACAGCCCAGCAATGCAGGACTTCCTGTTCGCACTGAGCAGACACTCTAACTCCAGCCAGCACCCAGTGGCGAGGAGCATGAGGGGCAAGAGGCAGAAAGCAGGACAGCACTCTTGGCCTCAGAGCAATCTTTGCTGTTTCTGCGCATTAAAAGTTGAGGAGCTGGCAGGAGTTTGAGGTTGCTGTGAGCTAGGCTGACGCCACGGCACTCACTCTAGCCCGGGCAACAAAGCGAGACTCTGTCTCAAAAAAAACAAAACAAAACAAAAACAAACAAACAAAAACAAAAAAAAGTTGAGGAGCTGGGCGCGGTAGCTCACGCCTGTAATCCCAGCACTCTGGGAAGCCAAGGTGGGAGGATCGCCTGAGCTCAGGAGTTTGAGACCAGCCTGAGCAAGAGTGAGACCCCGTCTCTACCAAAAATAGAAAAATTAGCTGGGCATTGTGACACATGCCTGTAGTCTCAGAAGGCTGAGGCAGGAGGATTACTCGAGCCCAGGAGTGGGAGGCTGCAGTGAGCTATGATGACGCCACTGCACTCCAGCCCAAGTGACAGAGCAAGGCCCTGTCTCAAAAAAAAAAAAAAAAGTGGAGGACTTTAGAAGTCATGCGACTGGCATATTAAGCCCCTTTATTCTGTGAGGCTCCGCTACACCCAGTGCAGGGATGGGGGAGATAGAGGTCTCTTGCTATCTACTCCTGCCAGGAGCACATAATGGCAAGAACCACACACAGCCTCCTGAGCACACGGGGACACGTGCTGTAGGACTCAGAGGGAAGTGGCTGGCAGGGGCTGGCGAGTGACGCCTCTGATGCCTTTGCACCAGGGCTTTAGGGTTGGCCTCTGTCATACCATGGTCGTTCATGTACTGGCGCTGAATCCCGCGAGGATCCACACAGCCTGTCCCTGCCTCTCCATCTGTCACCTCACCAGCCTGGCGGGGTGGGTCACCCTTCCTGGCTTTACACCTGAGAGGGGAAGAGAGGTGGGTAGGAAGTCCAGAAACTGCAAGTGGAAAGTGGACACCTCCAGGTTCTCTTCTTTCCCTGGGTCGCCCTCCCCTGGGAGTTTTCAACAGCAGCTAGGGCCCGCGCGGAGAGCGCAGAGGCAGACGTGGGCCAGGAGCCACGTTCCAGACGCGGAAGAAACAGGACAGGAAAGGTGCGTTCACGCGGCACTCTGGCTGCAACCGCAGCCGGCGCCATCACGCGCCGCCCCGGCGAGCTCCGGGTGCAGCCCGCGGCGCCCTGTGGGACGGAGCGCGAGGCGGGACCCGGCGGTGCAGCCTCAAAGAGCCACGGCCCGCGCCCGGCCCCCTAGGCCTCGGTCGTGGCCTTGGACGGCGAGGACAACGCAGCCTCGAGGCCCCTGGACTCGTAGCCAGGCCCGCGAGAACCCGCCCGGGCGCGGAGCGCGGGGCGCGTTGCCATGGGCGACGGCGCCGGGATGCGCAGGCGCAATGCGGAGCACTCGCCCCGCCTTCCCCTTTAAGCGCCCGCTGGCCGCGTCGCCGCTTCATGAATGGAGCCCACGTGACCAAACATCATGTGACGTCTGTGGAGCGGCGGCGGCGGCGGCGGATCCCGAGCCTGGTCCGGCCCGGCCTTCCCAGCGCGCTCGGCCCGGCCCGCCAGGCGGCCATCCCTCCTGAGCCCCGGGCCCGGACCCCTCGCGCCGGCCCCCGCCCCGCGCGGCCTCGGAGCGCGCGGCCTCGTCCCGCCGACCTCGGCCCGCCGGGCCCGCAGTGTGGTAAGTGCGGGCGGGGGGCGGCGGGCCGAGGGGCGGGGGCCGGGCTCCTCCCGCGGCGCCGAGGGCCGCGGGTTCCTGGCTCTGGGTCTGCGCGCACCTGCCAGTGGCCCGTGCCTCGCTTTCCCCACCGGCCGGAAGCCGGCTCCGGTCCCGCCGCCCGGGTGCCGGGGTGGGCCGCGGGCGGCGGCGGCGCGCGGGCCGGGCGTGTGCGGAGCCGACTCGCGGAGGCCCGGGCGTCCTGGGGGAGGGGCGGCCGGGGCGGCGGAAGGAAAGGGTGGGGTTGAGCGGGGCGCTCCGGGGTCCGCGCGGGGGCCGGGCCCGGCGCCGCGGATTCCTCAGGTGGCCGCGTCGGCGCTGCCCGCGCTCAGGGGTCTTTGGCGCGGCCGGGGAGGGGCAGGCGGCGCGCGGGGGGCGGCCGGGGAGACCCCGCTCGCGCCGGCTCGGCTCAGTCACTCGCGTGCCAGGGCCCGGGGGAGACTTGCTGAGTCATCAGCATGAGGTCACTCGATGCTCGAGCTGGTGCCGGGGGGGAAAGGCGCGAGGGCCTCGGGGACTGAAGGGCCGGCCGGCGGGCGGACGCGCGCGCGTGGGGCTGTGGCGGAGGGGCCGGGCCCCGGGGCCGGGGGCGCCAGTGCAAGTTTGGGCCGCGCGCTCCACTTGAGCCAGAGTGTGGCAGGAGGAAGTGGAGCGGGCTCGTGGCGGGTTTTCTCTCGGGGCCGAAGGTGAAGCCTTGCCGCGCCCTCCCAGGCAGCTCTTCTCAGGCAGCTGGTCCTGGTCGCGGTCTGGGGCCGTTTCCCAAACTGGGAAATAGTTCCCTGAGTGAAAGGAGGGGAGGAGCTTAGGTGGGCCGTGCTGGCCGGGCGGGGAAGTAGGCTTTCCCTGTGACTGGCCTGGCTGGGCCAGCCCGGCAGCCCCTGGCCAGACAGGGAGGCGGTGGGGGAAAGTCCTGGGTGACAGTGGGCAGGGCGAGGAGGAGGCAGCGGGACTTAGCAGGGAGAATCACTTCTAGGCCGGTTGGCTAAGGTCAAGTGTAGACAGCAGGGGAGCAGCCCTCCCTCTCTCCCCAGCTGCCTCGGTCTCTGAGTTGAGGCTGCAGATGGTGGGAGCTTTGAGGGTGCAGCCGATGGCTGGTGTGGATGGCACCGGGTGGCAGAATGCAGCTCCCAGTCATCCCAAAATTGTCCCCACCTGAGGTGGTGTCTTTTCGTGAAGTTAGCAAAGAGAGTGTGACCCTGCTGGGCGTCTGGCCCAGGACTCGTAAGAAAATGACAACCTGAGGGTGGTGTGGCCAGAGCCACCTTCCTGGGGCATATGGGTGGTTCCTAGGAGGGGTTTGTAACTAGGTTAGGCTGACCCTGTGGTTTGCCCTCAGGATGGCCCCCCCAGCACACACGCAGCACACTCTCTCACTGGGCCCTGGGCTTACAGATGCCAGATGTTTTAGCACTTCAGCTGATCTCTGGGCTGGAATTTTACGCCCTTGGAATATGCAGGGTCCTGGAGCGGTGTTTTCTCAAGCTTTCTCAGTCACTTAGGCCTCAGTGGAAATGAAGTTTTAGATTCTTTTCAAAGAGCGACTTTTGGTATCTGAGGGCTTCTGGAGGAGAGGTGGGTGTGGAGGGCAGGCAAGAGTGAGACCCACCTGCCCCGGGGTGCCAGAGTGTCCAGGCCACACCTAGCCCGGAGTTCTGGCTGCTGGAGTCTGCAGGCCAGGACAAAGGAGCGAGGCTGGCCTCCTGCCTAGTGTCCATGCTCCAGCAGAAGGGGATAGAGCTGCCCAAACCTCCTTCCCTTCCTGCTCTCAGCCTGAGTGCCTCCTCCATGAGGTGGGCTCTGCCTCGGGGGTAGAAGAGGGTGAAGGATGACAGGGCCCCAGCTCTGACCACCCTTCAGTACCAGGAGGTGGGCTGAGGTGGGAGGCCGGTCTCTTGATTCGGCTTGTGGGATCCCCTTCCTTTGACTTCAGGAGGTGCCCTGGGCATCCCTCCCAGCCATCCTCGTCAGTTGTCTCTGCCTGGGCAGTGTGAATCCCGGGGTTGCAAAGGCCAGGCAAGGAGGCTGGAGGCCCTGGCTTGCTTAGCCATGCCCCTCCCCCACTGCACCCCCCCCCCCCCACCTTTGATTAGGAGGCGACTGGCTGCACTTGTGCTGAGTTCAGGCCTTCTGCGCAGGGCGAAATCTGTCGAGGAGGCACTTTTCAGCTCCCAGCCGCCTCACTCGGCACTTTTCTGTGTGATCTCTTCAGGAAGTCACCATTATATCATTGTGCATAGCAGTCAGGTGGGGGGATTATGGGGGGAGAAGCTAGTGCCAGAGCAGATCCCTCCACCTGGACCTGTGCTCAAGGCTGGGGAGCCCCTCGGGGCTTGGCTTTGAGGGCTGGCTCCTGGGGCAGGCATGGGGCCAGCTTGCAGGAAAGACACCTCCAGCGGACCTTCTCACCTCCAGCTTGGGTCTTCCTCTTCCTTTGATTTGGAAGAATCCGGTGGCTGGAGCCGTGGGGTCTTGTGTCTGAGGCTCCTGGTGGCCTGGCAGTGGGGAGATGTCTCTGGCTTCCTTCCCTACTCTTTGCCCATAGCCCACCTCCTGGTGCAAGACCGGGGGAGGTGGAGTCTCTACCTGGTGGGAACATAGGCCTCCACCTAGCCAGCCCACACTTCAGCACAGCTGATGAGGGGAGAACTCTCTACCCTAGGCCAGAATTGCCCGAAGCACTCAGCTCCTCAGGGGACTGCAGGGTGTCTTCTCTTCCAGCCATTTTCCTGCCTGCCTCTAACCTGGGAAGGAGGGGATGGAGCATGGTGGTGGGGCAGTCTTTGCCCAAGGGTCTAGTGGGGAGTGGACTGAGCCCATAATCCGAGATGAGTTTCTGGGAGGAGGTGTCCTTGGCAGGGCTTCAGAAAGCAGAATGTGAGGTCAGGGGCTGGAGGGACAACTGAGTGGGTGGCAGTTGGCTGTCTGGTCTGGCCTCCCAGCCCTTTTGTTGTTCCCTGGCCCTGTGGGCACCAAGCTGGGCGGGGGCCAGAGCACAGTCAGTGACCAGAGGGGCTGACCACCCCTGTCTCCAGCTGAGCAGGCCCCAGGGGCTAATCGTGGGCCCTTGTGAAACACCCTGGGTGGGGTGGGGCAGGGTGCAAGATGCTGCAACCAATTGTGGCAGGATGGTTACTCCATCAGTGGAGGAGGTGGACAGAGAGGGCTGGAGGGCAGAGAGGGCTGGAGGGGCCTTTGGCCAGACTCCTCCTAGCTGGATTGCCTGCTACTTCCAAGGTGGGGAACTCCCCAGCCAATCCTGCCAACAGAGCCAGAGCTTGCTGGGCAACCCACTCCTAGCTCTTCAAAGTTAGAAGTCTCTGGGAGAATCAGAACTGCCCCGCATCTTCCTCTCTGTCGGAGTCCCTGGTGGGGACAGTCCCCCTGAGCCTCCGAGGCAGTGGGGGCTTTGTCCCAGGCTGGCTTAGGGGAGGCAGCTATAGGAGGTGGGACGCTGGACTATGCATGCACAGGGTCCCTGCTGTTGGCCAGGCTGTAGGGCTGTGGCCCTCCTGCAGCGCTGTTGGCTGGAGGGCCTGGGGAGTGCCAGCGCCGGGTGAGGGAGGCAGCGATGTGCTGAGTCAGCGTGACTCGCCAGGAACAGCCGAGCTCTGGGGCAGCACTGGGGTTATTTTTAAAGCTCCTGGCTTCCTTCTAGGCTTGCCCCTCCTGCATCTTATTCCTCTTAAACTCTCCCCCAGCCCCTCTGTCTTGCTCTGCCTCCCTTCCAGCCTTCAGTTTCCCTTCCCCCATCGGGCCTTCCTGACATCCCACCTGGTTCCTTAGTGGCAGGGTGGGCAGGGAGAAGCTCAGCTTGGGAGAGGCAAGGCCAAGGGCTGTTCTCCAGTCAGGTATTGGGGGCTGGGCACCTGGGCAGCAGGCTCCTGTGTGTGTGTGTGAGAGAGAGAATTGGGGTGGTCTCTGGGGTCCTGACCTCTGCTCTGTGTCTTGCAGGAGTGCCTGCTCGCTGTGCCCCCGGGTTATGACGACCCCCAATAAAGGAAGCAAGGCCTTGAAGGTGAGCAGCAGGGAAGGGTGTTCTGGGCTCAGTGGCATGGGGAGGCGACCCTGCTTGGCCGTGACCTGTGTGCTGTGCCACCCCCAGGTGAAGCGGGAGCCGGGTGAGAATGGCACCAGCCTGACAGACGAGGAGCTGGTGACCATGTCGGTGCGGGAGCTGAACCAGCACCTGCGGGGCCTGTCCAAGGAGGAGATCATCCAGTTGAAGCAGCGCAGGCGCACGCTCAAGAACCGTGGCTACGCTGCCAGCTGCCGTGTGAAGCGGGTGACCCAGAAGGAGGAGCTGGAGAAGCAGAAGGCGGAGCTGCAGCAGGAGGTGGAGAAGCTGGCTTCCGAGAACGCCAGCATGAAGCTGGAGCTCGACGCCCTGCGCTCCAAATACGAGGCCCTGCAGAACTTCGCCAGGACCGTGGCCCGCAGCCCTGTGGCACCGGCCCGGGGCCCCCTTGCTGCTGGCCTGGGGCCCCTCGTCCCTGGCAAGGTGGCCGCCACCAGTGTCATCACAATAGTAAAGTCCAAGACGGACGCCCGGTCGTAGGGATACGCGGCGTGTTTGCCCAGGCGGGTCTTTGAGGGGCCACTAGGCGCGTGGTGAATTCGGCAGCCCCGTTTCTTTCCCTTCTCTTCTCTTCCCTTCCCTTCCCTTCCCTTCTCTTCCCTTCTCTTCTCACCTCCCCGCCCCCCTTCATTCCCTGCAAAGCACAACCTGCACCCCAGGGGCACTGGGCTGAGCCCCTTTGATCTAGTTGTCGTCGTGTGTTTTGTACGTTGGGATTGGTCAGTTTGGCGGTGACGGTGATGTGGGGTTTCCGCAACCCTCTTTGTACCAAGGCCGTGCAGGCTTGGAGTCCAGAGCGGGCACCGTGAGAATGCAGGAGCAAGTGCTCGCATACCTGAGCAAGCCCCCGGCCTTGCGTGTCCCCAAGTGGGGAGGGCTCCCGTCTGCCCTCCGCGCTCAGGCGGCTCAGCCCAGCCGAAAGAGATGGGCCCTGCTCTGAGGAGTAGGGTGTTGGTGAGTGCCCTGAGCGGGTGTGCCACCAGCCTGGGTGCAGCAGGTGCTGGGGGGGGGGTGTGTGGCTGGGGCCAGGGGCCGCGGCACTTGAGCCTGACGCGTTGCGCTGAACGAGACCAAATCGCTGGTTGTGAGCTTACGTGAAGGGTGTGTCCCGTGTGTCCTGCGATGGGTCCCGTGTCACTGTTTACATGACCTATTTGTGTGGTTATATAGCCCTTTATTTAAAAGAGAGAAGTTCCTTTTACGAAGTTATTAAATTATATGTTTAAAAGCTAAAGGAAGAAAAGAGCTGCAGAGTATTTATAAAACTGTCTTTAAAAAAAAAAGAACAAGCAAGAAGAACATTTGACCATATAAATGGAAAAGGGAAGAAAGTATATTAGAAACTTTGCTAGTTTAAAAAAAAAAAACAAAAAAAAATCCCTTTCTTGTAAACTTATGGACACCTCTTTGTGGCTGTTGGAGTTTAGTTTTTATATACACAGAGTTATCAGACGTTATTTATAAAACTTAGTTTAAAAAAGACAAAAAAAAAAGCCAAGCCGTGAGCCGACCAGAGGCCATCCTCTTTGATATCTTTTGCAATTGTACCGAAAGTGACTTACTCCTTCGCCCTTCCTGCTTCCGTCTCTTGCCGGTGCCGTGGTGTCGTCCGTGCCTGGTGAGGTTTTGTGCAGCCGTGAAGTGCTGGTGCTTCTGGTGACCTTTGACCTGTGAGTGTCACTTCTTGTGTCTGTTTTTCTGTGTTTGTTTTTTGGATTTAGTTGTGTTTTTGCTTCTGCTGGCTTGCCGGACCCGGGCTGGGCTGGGCTTGGCTGGGCTGCCCAGCGGCACCTGCTACGTGGGAGGTCGGGGATCTGTGCCCCCAGCCCCAGGAAGTCAGACGTGGGGCTCTGCCCCTCCCACCTATGCTGAGCCTTGACGTAGTGTGTGTCTAGGGCTTGGGCTGGTCCAGTGGCAGAGAAGGTGATATTTGGGGGCCATTTGGGGGCCCTCATGCTGCTTCCACACCCACCACCTCTGGCCTCGGGTGGTGGCGTTGCAGGGACCAAGGAGTCACTGTGGGTGCCCAGGGGGCCCTGGCCAAACTTTCCCCGCCGTCTTCCTCTGGCCTCAGCTTTGTTCTCATAGGCTTCATGTGGGACCTCAGCCAAGGAACCCCAGGGGGCCGCTTATCCCTGAACTGTTTCCATGCTGCAAGGTGGTGCTTCCCAGGCAGAGTGGTGCGGGACCCCCCTGAGGCGGCCCCTTCTTCCTTGTCCCTGACTTGCTCTGAGGGCCTGGGGGCGTCTCTACCAGTGCAGACAAGGGCTACGATCTCCAGGGCCCAGTCTTGGCCCTCTTCTCCACTTGTCCACGCTGGCAGCTCTTGGCTTTGGGCCCTTCTTCCGCCTCCCTTTGGGATCTGTGTCTTCCAGGGATCAGCTGCTGTCTTTTGGAAGTACTTCTTTCTGGGGGCCGAGCCCACCTCTCTGTCCCAGAGCCTGCTGACCTTCCAGGCTTGGCTCAGGAAGCTCCTTGCAGGCGTGTGGTGGGGAGGGGGTTGCCCGCCCACCTGCAAGAGGCTACAGTCCTGTCTCTGGCCACTCGAGCCTTGGCCTCTCAGCAGGGTTGCTGGTGTCTTCTCTGGGAGCCTTGGACCCTTGAAAAGCACAGAAGTGTGACCTGATATGACAAAAAACTGCGGCCTGCACAGGGTTTATCGTCATGGGCAGCAAGATTTTTATCTAAGAGTTTGACCCGGTGTGCCCGTGAGGTGGGGACCAGGCGTGCTATTGACTCTTGTCCCATGGATGGGCTTTGCTGCTTCTGGTGTGCAGACACACTCCTGCTTATACCTGGCTCAGCCCGCAGATGGAAGTGTGACTGTTGCCTCTGAGTCACTTAGTGACTTCCCCTCCCTTGCCTCAGTCTGGTTTGTCTAGCTGGAAGCCAGGCTGTGGCAGCAGTGAGTTGGACTCATTGGTGAAGAAAGTTTGTGACCTGTGTTGGAGCGGGGAGGACAGGCCCTCCCTGTCCTTGTATGGCCCCCACCTTTGTCCTGGCTGGGGGTTGTCACCCATTTCTGAGCACCTCTGCCAGGCTGTGGACCTAGAAAGCAGGAGGAGGAAGTAGGTGAGGAAGAGGAGGAGGGTTTGAGGATAGGTACAGAAGTCGCAGGTCCTTGGTTTGGTTTACAAAAGCAGCTTATGGACTTGGTGAGGCCATGCTGCCTTTCGAGAGTTTTGGGTTTGGAGCAGCTGTTCTTTGGGTCTGGGGGAGTGTTCCCGTTCCCTGTCCAGCCACCCCTGCAGGGCCACTCCACCCCCTTCCCCTTGATTTCTTTAGAGTAGATCCTGTGTCCACATGTGATTTTTGTCTTTCTGATCTTTGTTAATTCCATTTTCCTGCTGTAAGGATGTTGTATTCTTCTTTCTTCTCTCCTCAACTTTTCTGACACAGCGAATTGAGGGCTTTGGCCAAGGCCAGGTCTCTCAAAATTGTCCGCTAAGTAAACCATAATGTGTGTCTTCCCTCCCACCTTGACTTTGCCCCAACTCCTCCCTTATCCCAACATGGACACTCAGATTTCAGAGAAAAAACCCAGCAGGAACAGGTCAGCCCTTCCTGGAGAGCATAGCCCCACGGAGACCTCCCCATGGTTCCTGACTGCTGCTCAGGCAGCTCTGCCATTAGGGTGGTGGGTGCTCCATGGTGGCTGTGTCCTGTGCTGAGGTTTCTGCCCGAGGCCAGGCCTCCCTGTAGGCTTCTGCTCTTGCTGCACGCTTCAGTTCTGTGTGTACACCTCTGACGTTCAGCAGTAGCCTCAATGGTGGTCAGTGCCTGGCCCACGGCTCTGGTTGGCTGCAGCCTGTTTGGGGACAATGATCAGGTCTCATTATGTCCCTGCCACCCCCATCTCTGGAGTGGCCACTTGGCCAAAGTTCCCATCCACATATGGGAAGCTGGAGCCACAGCCTACTGCACCGTTTCCGCTCTGGGATCTGTGAGTTACTTTTTTAGGCTGTGGTTTGGTGAAAGGAACCAACACATTAACGATTTTTTTCCCCAGAAGCCACTGAATAATTCTTTTCGGCGTGTTTTCGCCTTCCTGTTGAGTGGAGGGCATAATCAGTGCCACCCAGTGGTAGGGGTGTACCCAGGAGTCTCTGATGGCCTGTCCTGGCAGTGCTGTGCCTGCTGGCCATCCGCACACGTTTCCACCCCACCCCTGGAGCAGCAGCTTCAATGCCGTGGGTGTCCCTTGAGTCTGATCTAGAGTGTAAGAGAGCGTGTCCCTGATAAACTGTGAGATCTCCCTGTTCTCAGTGACCCTAGTTGGGCTTTGGCCCCTCCAGCAACCTTGTGTCCCCCCCCTACCCTTATTCCCATCCCCTCAGTCTGCTAGTCCCTGAAGCCTTTAACCAAATGGGAGTGGTACAGAAAGCCTTCTCCTGGTATCTTAGGGCAACAGGACAAGGGCTACTCGTGTGTCCAGCTGCCCTGTACTCTCCTGGCGCTGAGAGGTGGGTCCATGCAGTTACCAGCCCCTGCCTGCCCTGCCTAGGGCTGGAGCCAGGGCAGTTTGGTGTGCGTGGAGGACTCTGGGATCAGGTGGGGTGGGGTGGTTCAAGATCGGAGGAGGGGATGCGAGGTGGGGCCCGAGGCCCCGCACCTCGTGTAGGGTGGTCAGGGGGCTGACCTGGGGCGGGGCGGTGGCCTCTGTGCCCTATCCCTGCTCTGCGCAGTATTTATTGCTAAATTATTGTCCAGGAGGGGCAGCACTGGGCCTGGCCCCCCGGGTATTTATTGCTGTACATAGTGTATGTTTGTGATATATAAGGTTTTCTTTATTTTGTATATGATCAATAAACACCTTTTAAAAAGACTGGCAGGTGCTTCTTTGGGCAGCGCGGCGGGCGGGGCGGGGTCAGCGCGCGCATGCGCCCGCGCGCGGCCTGCTGGGCGAGGCGGAAGCGGAAGCACGGGTCTCCCCTGGGAGCGATGGCAGCCGGGGGTCTGAGCCGCTCGGAGCGCAAGGCGGCGGAGCGGGTCCGGAGGCTGCGGGAAGAGCAGCAGCGGGAGCGCCTCCGCCAGGTACGCCCCGCGCGGCCGCCCGCCCGCTCCCCGCCGCCGCCGCCACTCACCGCCCGCCCGCCCGCAGGTGTCGCGCATCCTGAGGAAGGCGGCGGCGGAGCGCAGCGCCGAGGAGGGCCGGCTGCTGGCCGAGAGCGAGGACCTGGTGACGGAGCTGCAGGGCCGGAGCCGGCGGCGCGAGGGCCTGAAGCGGCGGCTGCAGGAGGCGAGTCCCGCGGGGCGCGGCTGGGAGCCCTCCGTCCGGGGTGGGCGCCCGGCCGCGGGGGAGGTGACCAGTCCCGGCGTCTCGGCAGGTGTGCGACGACCCGGAGGAGCTGCGCAGGAAAGTCCGGGAGCTGGCCGGCGCCGTCCGCAACGCCAAATATCTGGTCGTCTACACTGGCGCGGGGATCAGCACGGTAGGGAGGGAGCCGTGGACGCCCGCGCGCACTCCCTCGAGTCCCGGGCGGGCCCGAACCGCCCAGGGGCGGGCGTGGGGCGCCCCCTTCTGGGGGACCGGCCCAGGACGGAGTGCCATGCCCCAGCTGGGTAACGACGGAATCGCAAAACTCACCTTTAGTTTTTCCCTTAGAGAAACACGAAGTGACTCAACTCAAAATTTAACTGATATAAACACTTTTAAAATGCCTGACCTCTATATCACAGCGAGTTAGAGGCAGAAAAAGAACAGGAATACAAGCTGGCTGCTTGCAGGCTCCTCCTCACTTGAAATCAGGGCCTGCCAGTCGATTGACCGCAGACGAGGTGGGCAGAACTCAGCCCAGAACTGTCTACTGATTCCCCATTCATTGTGTTCTGTTCATCTGAAGGAAGATAAGCAGAAAGTGAGACTGTTAAGAATCCGAATACACCAGGTAAAAGAGAGAATTGCATCGTTTTTTTCCGTTTTGTGTTTTGTTTTTTTTATAGAGACAGGGTCTCGATCTGTGGCCCGGGCTGGAGTGCAGTGACGCCATCATAGCTCACTGCAGCCTGGAACTCCTGGGCTCACGTGATCGATCTTCCTGGCTCAGCCTCCCTGCATTATTTTGAGACCTTTCACTGGGAAGGTATCCTGGGCTGTGGGACATCAGTGTCTTTGAGAGTGGGACTGGCACATTGTCCATCTAATCCGATGGGCAAGTGTGGAGTCTTAGGCATGTGTAGGCCCAGCAGAGCTGAACACCAAGTGATCTGCATACTCAGGAAGCCCTTAGGTGACGATAATCAGGCATGTGAGCAAATACCCATGACGTAAGGCTGACTATGCTGGGGTCTCGGAAACAGAAATCCAGATGCACACTGTTGTCTCAGAGCTAGGAAACCCATGGGAGGCTGGGGGGATTTGCGGGAGGTGGCCTTGAAGGAATGATGACGTGTACAGCTGAAGGTGGGGGGCCAGGCACTCCAAACAAAGGTAACAGCAGAGGCACAAGAGCGACAATGTGTGAGGTGAGTTCACTGCTCCAATTCATAGATAACCTGGAGCTCTAGCCTTTGGGTGTCTTCCCTCCACGGCCACATGTGCACATCCAGTCACGCAGTTATGTAACAGCAGCAATGTCACTTCTTACAGAGCTTCCAGGGGCAGCTGACAGCCACATGCCCCTAATCAGTTTGATCTGAATGTTACTATTTGAGGTTCCCCTCTTGAATGCGACAGAACCAGTGATCAGGGTGGGCATTTTTCTGAGTTTAAGCAGCAGTGAAGGGACACGACTTCCCCAGAAGGGAACACAAGTCTCTGATTCTGGCATACCTTCTGTTTTTTTCCTCTCGGCATCATTTTGTTTCACTGGATGGGAAACTTGGCAAATTAGATGTTTATCTCATCTGGAGCAGTTGTCTTACCTTTGTTAAGATTGAGTGGGAGGCAGTGCGTTTGGCGGTCCCGTGGATCTGTCTCTTGCTTCAACAGTGTTTGGATGGAACAGACCCCGGGGGCTCCCTTAAAAATGCAAAAAGATTGAGCAGGAATTACTCAGCATTGGGATGTAAGAATTTGGGCAAAGCAGTGCCCCAACCTGGAGATTCGCCCTTTGCTAAACATCTGAGCACTGGGCCAGGTCCTGGGGCCATGCACGTACCTGACCAGCTCCCCACAGTGTGGGGGACACACGTAGTCACGGAGCCCAGGTCTGCTCAGTGCTAGAGAGGCTCCCGGAGCGAGGGCAGGGCGCTGCTGAGCCTGGAGGGCTGAGTTGGGCCGGGTGGGAAGGGGAGTCCAGGCAGAATGAAGGAGCCCTGCTGGGGGATGCTCCATCTGGGGTCAGGCAGCTCAGCCTGTGGAACAAAGAAGCCGGCCTGTGGGCCAGCCTGTGGTGTGGCGGGAGAAACTGGCTCCCTGTTTGTGGGAATTTAGCCAGTACCTACAGTGATGCCTTTTTACTTGGCTTACCTTTTTTCTGAACATGCAGGCAGCCTCTATTCCAGATTACCGGGGCCCTAATGGAGTCTGGACGCTGCTTCAGAAAGGGAGGAGTGTCAGGTGAGCAGGCCAAGTGCAGCCTTCCTGAGCAGGTGGGGAGGGGCGGTGTGGGTCTGAGTGTGCAGCTGTCCTCATCCTCACACTCCCTCCCACCCGCAGTGCTGCCGACCTGAGTGAGGCCGAGCCAACCCTCACACACATGAGCATTGCCCGTTTGCACGAGCAGAAACTGGTAAGACCCCAGTGTGGCTGACATACTTGCTGGGTCTGGGCACAAGAGGTCTGGAGCGCCGCCTTGGTACCCAAGTAGACTGCTGTGTCTCCTTTGTTCCTGCTGGTTTTCCCCCAAATGAACACCCATCGAGCAGGCTGGACTCCTGGTTTGGTCCTCCCATGCTTCCTGTCAGGAAAAAAGGGCAGCCTTTCCTCCAAACCAGTCTGTCCAGGGAAGCAGCCCTTCCTCCAAACCAGTCTGTCCAGGGCCAGCCTCGGCCCAGAGCAGCTGGTGGCCTTTCTCTTCGTGGACCTCGGGAGCCAGAAGGCAGGCCGGTAGGAAATCTCTGGAGACCCTCCACTGAACACCTTTACCCAAGAGGGTAGGGGGTAGGTCTGCCTGGGCCCTCAGGGACCTGAAACACATTGAGCGAAGGGAGCATGAGCTGGGCCAGTGCCAACGCTTGCCCTCCCAGCAGCTGCCAGTGCGGCAGGGCTGAGGGGAGGACACAGCCCTCCCGAGTCCTGCTGGTCAGGCCTGCTGTGTGCTTTACCTTCCCAGGCTTTCCGCGGGGTCCTGGTGTCAGCAGCTCTCACTGGGCTGGGCTCAGAGTGGTCTCACTGCCGCCCTGACTACCCTCGTGACGGGTGCCCTGTCCTGCGTTCCAGGTGCAGCACGTGGTGTCCCAGAACTGTGACGGGCTCCACCTGAGGAGTGGGCTGCCGCGCACGGCCATCTCGGAGCTCCACGGGAACATGTACATTGAAGTGAGCAGTCCTGCGGGGACCCGGGGCCTGGCGGGCAGGCGGGTCCACTCACGTGCTCTCTTGCCCTCAGGTCTGCACCTCCTGCATCCCCAACAGGGAGTACGTGCGGGTATTTGATGTGACGGAGCGCACTGCCCTCCACAGACACCAGACAGGCCGGGCCTGCCACAAGTGCGGGACCCAGCTGCGGGACACCATTGTGCACTTTGGGGAGAGGGGGACGTTGGGGCAGCCCCTGAACTGGGAGGCGGCAACCGAAGCTGCCAGCAAAGCAGACACGATCCTGTGTTTAGGGTCCAGCTTGAAGGTACGTGCTGACAACACCGTGAACGAGCAGAGTGAGCAGGTTTCTGCCCCTGCCTGCCCAGAGCTGTCCAGCTCAGCATCAGACCCAGCCTTCTCTTAGGACCATGTTCTCTGTGTGTGTGTGCTGTGTCTGTCCATGTCTGCAGGTTCTAAAGAAATATCCACGCCTCTGGTGCATGACCAAGCCCCCTAGCCGGCGGCCCAAACTCTACATTGTGAACTTGCAGGTAACTCAGCTGCCCAGAGCTGTGTCCTTAGACCTGGGCCTTAGAACAAGGAGCCAGAGAGACGTCCTACATGCACCACGGAGGCCTGAGACTGGCCCAGGAGGTTGTGTGGGGAGGACTGACTGAGCCTACAGGGGCCAAGGCTGACCAGGTGTTACCCTCACTCACCCTTCCACATCCACAGTGGACCCCAAAGGATGACTGGGCTGCCCTGAAGCTTCACGGGAAGTGTGATGATGTCATGCGGCTCCTCATGGACGAGCTGGGCCTGGAGATCCCCCTCTACAGCAGGTGAGTGGGCCCAGCACATCACCCCACTTCCTGGCACCTCTGTGTGGTGGGCCTTGTCTGTCTTCTCTTGTGAGCTGAGCGTGGAGGAAGCTCCGAGGTGTTCCCAGCAGTATCTGAGGTGTGACTGAATCGTGGTGGTCTCCAGAGGCGAGACTCTGCGTGGGCACACTCCTGCCTGGGCCGATGTGGCGTGCAGAAGCCCTGTGGGAGAGGGGTTCTGCCCACTGACCTCTCAGAGAAGCCTGGTGGGAAGGTGCCTCGAGAGGACCGGCAGCTTTGGTCAGACAGAATCTCAGTGCACTTGGTTTTGGGAGTTGGCATATTTTGGGGAAGCTTAAACTGTGCCGTAATACAGAATTTGTGATAATTTAGACTTGGTGTGTGTATTGAGTAAAAAGTTTACACTTTCTTTCTCTGTGAATTTTCAGGGTCTTATAGGGGAAATCAGTAACTTCTTTTAATCAAAGGGTTCAAGAAATTAAGGATCCCTTCACCTTCTGGGCCTGGCAATTCTTGTATGTTATGTTTGTGGTGTTCTGTAATGTGGGCCTATCGTGTACTGTATTTTTTTGTTTTTTACATTAACTTAGCTCATTTTCTTTATTGGTGCTTATCTGTATCCTAAGTTATAATATGTGGTTCTGCATCTCAGTCAGACACATGGTTTGTTCATGGTGTCGTCTGTAGGCCGTGCCTCCCTAGTCAGCTGGGAAGGGGAGAGGGTCTGATCCACATGCCCCCGGCCGTACGTGTGAAAGGTGGGGCCCAGAGTTATTAGTGACTCATCCCTGGACACAGCGGCGGCCCTGGGGCCGCTGCTGCCCCACCCTGTTTGTGCACGGCCACTCAATGGCAGACCAGGGCTCTGAGTTCTGAGGAGACCAAGCCGGTGAGGGTGCTGACCTTTTTACCGCCCAAGGAGATGGCCTCTCCTGCAGCTGTTCTGCAGCTGGGTAACAGTGGAGCCACCAACCAGAGCCCAGCCACGGTTAAGGCATGGGAGGGTGGGGTGGGGAGGCAGGGGACCTCAGACAGCTTTCCCGTGCTGGGGCGGGTTGTGACTGCGAGAGGCACCCAGCCTTGCCTGACACAGCTTTCCCTTTTTGGTAGGTGGCAGGATCCCATCTTCTCCCTGGCAACTCCCCTGCGCGCTGGCGAAGAAGGCAGCCACAGTCGGAAGTCGCTGTGCAGAAGCAGAGAGGAAGCCGCGCCCGGGGACTGTGGTCCCCCACTTAGCTCAGCCCCCATCCTAGGGGGCTGGTTTGGCAGGGGCTGCACCAAACGCACAAAAAGGAAGAAGGTGACGTAACCTGGTGCTTGATGAAGAACAGTTGGCACTTTGCAGATGGACAGAACTCTTATTCAGGAGCCAGTGTCACGGTGAAGGCTGGGTTGTCCCTACGGGGTCCAGCAAGACGACCTCTTGTGGTGACATATTCACCGTGACATGTGTAACCATCTGTCCTTGAGGGGAGCCCCCTTGCACTGCTGTGGCTGTCCCTGATACAGCCTCATCCAGGACACCTGCTCCTCGGCCTCTATGTAAGAGGTGGCAGTGACGCCATTCAGCGGAGCTCGGGTTATTTCAGACCTGGCTGGCAGAGAGGAAGTCACGACTGCCTTACCTCACTGGCCAGGCTAGTCTCAGGGCCTCATCCTATTTCTACTACTTCTTACTAAAACGTGTTACTTTGTAGAAGCCTTTTTCTGTATTGGGTATGCGGCAGAGGGGTGCTTCCGAGCCTTGCGCTAAGCAGACCTTTTTATTCCTATTAAACATCTCTGCACCGTCTTCCCGTGTTCCTGGGCTCGCTTCCGTGGGCGGGCTCGCTGGGCGCCAGTCCCAGGCTGGGCAGGCAGCGTGGGCCTTGCCTAAAAAAGTCTCTTGGCTAGGGCGGCGCCCTGTGACGGTAAAGGCTCACTAAGCAGGCAGCGGCGGGGCCACCTCGCGCGGTGCTGCCAGGTATGGGGTCAGGTGTGAGCAGGAGGGGGCCAGGGACGGGGCCTGCTGGCGGCCGAGAGTGAAAGGGCACTGAGCCCACCCCCGGCGGTGCTGCGGCAGGGGGCGGGGCCTTGGGCGGGGCCGGGTGAAAGCGGCTGAGCCCAATCCGCGGTGCTCCCCGGCCTCCCTGCTGCCAGGTGTGGGGCCCGGTGTGAGCAGGAGGGGGCCGTGGGTGGGACCTGTGGGCGGTGCAGGGTGAAAGCGGCTGAGCCCACCCCGCGGTGATGCTCCGCCTCCCTCCCCTGAGTCTAAGCAGGGGGCGGTGCCCGTGGGCGGGGCCCGGCCCGGAGGTGCACGCCATTGGCCGCTAGGGGCGGGGCTCCGGTAGGGCGGTGCACGCCGTTGGCCGCGCGCGGCGGGGCGGGGCGGGGTCTTCACGGGCAGGGGCGGGGCGGCGCACGCCATTGGCCACGCGCGGCGGGTGAGGCCCGCGTGACGGCGGCGGCGCGTGCGCGGGGCGGGGTGGCAGCCGGGCGCTCGGAGTCTCCGGGGGCTGCCTGCGGTGCCGCGCCGCCGCTGCGTGGCCATGATCCGGAACGGGCGCGGGGCGGCGGGCGGCGCGGAGCGGCCGGGCCCGGGGGATAGGCGCCCCGTGAGGGTGTGGTGCGACGGCTGGTGAGCGCGGGCGGGCGGGGCGCCGGGGCCGGTGTCCTTCCGGGGCTGCGCCGGCGGTTGCGGGGACCGGCCCGCGCCTGGGTGGCGTCGCGCGCCCGGCCCGGCGGGTCTGGCGCCCGGGGCAGAGTCCCAGCGCGGCCTGCCGGTTAGCCCTGGCGGGGGGCTCGGGAGCGGGGATGTCCTGGCCGCTGCGCTTTCCGCGGGCTCCCGGGCCCGCCGCAGCCGGGCTGGGTCGGGGCGGAACGCCGGCGGTCTCTCTGGCCAGGCAGGCAGGGCGGCGTTTTAAGGCAAGTTTGGGGCTGTCAACAAGTAGAAGAAAGACTGACCTTTGCTGGTAACTCGCTGCCTGCGGTGCTTTCACGTGCTTTACTCCGTGGGAGTGGGGAGAGACAGCCCCTACCTGGGTGGCGCAGGGCTTGCGAGGCGACCAGGCAGGCCCTGTGCTTCTCTGTGCCTCAGTCACCTCAGGGAGAAGGAGCGGCTTTTTGTCAGTGGACTCTGACCTTGGCTCTGGCTGCGCTCCCGTTCACCGTGGGCCGTAGGCTAGAGTGACTAGACCCAGTGCCACCCCGTTCTGTGCTCTGCTTCCCTTGGCCCAGCCTCTGACCCCTGCTCCCCCCAGCAGCCTGTCCTGTGGGCACCCTGCTGTCTGCCAGGGCCCCAGGCGCTGTGGCGGGGGTGGTGAGTGGCCACTCTAGGAGGAGGCAGTGGGCACTGAGTAGAACAGCTCTGTCCATGCGTGGGGCTGCCCCAGGTCACCTGGTCCCCCGACTCGCTGGAGAAGCAGGGACGGCTTCATTTACTCACAGAAGCAGAAGCGAGGGCCAGGTCCACAGGGAGGCTTGGGGTTGTTCTGGGCACAGGGAGGCAGCCCCAGGGCCTGGTGGTACAGGGTTGGTACAGCCTTGGGCTTGGGTGTTCACCAGACAGGATTTTCGGATAAAAGCTTAGAGCCAGGTGACAATGAAGTGCTTATTCGCCAGAGAGCTAAGCCTCCTTGAGTTTCAGCGGCCAAGAGGGAGTGGGAAACGGGATTTTCAAAGCCAGTTATTCTCAGGCCCTTGTTGTTTGTTTGGATTTTTTGTTTCATGTTAGCGCCAGGGACTGTCCCCTTGTCTCAGGGTAGTGCAGACTCTAACCCTGCCCCCAGAATTAACTTTAAAGTTTGAAGTGACTTTGCCCACAGTAGTTTGTGTTTGCAGAGGGGAAACATCAAGGCAGAGCACAATCCGCAGTGTGGGATGAGTCTGTTCCATGCACCCGCTGGCCTTCTGGACCCAGCAGGCCTTGTCCCTGAGCCCACCACCCTTGCTAGATCTGACACCGGCAATGTGGGGAGCTGAGCACCTATTGCCTTTCTGAAAGCCCAGCTGGGTTACAGGGAGCTGTTCCCAGCGGCAGCTTCTCTGGGAGGCTTCCTAAGGAGTCCTCGGTTGAAGCAAAGCTGTGCCACCAACCCCAGCCCCACACAGGGCCACCTGGTCTCCACCCTCCTCAGCATACAGACTAGCCATTCTGTCTGTCTCCACAGCTATGACATGGTGCATTACGGCCACTCAAACCAGCTGCGCCAGGCACGGGCCATGGGCGACTACCTTATTGTGGGTGTGCACACTGATGGTAAGGTGTGGGGCCGCCTTGCCCATCCACTGCCCCCATAGCCCAGCTGGGGGCCACATCTGTCGACCAAAAGCCTGAGGACCCTGGGAGCGGGCAGGTCAGGCTCCACCCACCCCCATCTGAGGATGGTCCGAGGAAGCCTTTCTCGTCTTGCACCTGCTGTCCTGAGCTAGAGGAGGAGGGGGCTGGTGGAGTCCATGGTTGTGTCCCCCACTTCCTACCACCCCGACCTGGCTCCCGAGGCCTCAGGAAGGGAGTGCCACTCATCAGAAGGAGCCCCTGGTTTTGCTGAGACCCCCACTGGATGAGGGAGCCGTCCAGCTGTACAGCAGCGGGTCTCCAGGACCCGTGCTGGCCACGCGGGCGGAGCAGCGGTCCTGCCATTGTGGGCTGAGGGCTCCTGAGAGACGTGCTGCCCACCAAAAGCTCTCACGCGTGGTCACAGCGTGGTGCTGGGAAGGGGCTCCTACAGAAGGGGTCAGGCGAGCTGGTGTCACTGTCTTGTCCTCTTCCTTTTCTTTGGCCCTAGAGGAGATCTCCAAGCACAAGGGGCCCCCAGTGTTCACCCAGGAGGAGAGGTACAAGATGGTGCAGGCCATCAAGTGGGTGGACGAGGTGGTGCCTGCAGCTCCCTACGTCACCACGCTGGAGACGCTGGACAAGTACAACTGCGACTTCTGTGTTCACGGCAGTGAGTGGGCAGGGGCTGGGGGCTGCGGGGCCTGGGGAAGCCAGGCGGGCTCAGGATCAGACGCGACCTCCGAGCCCTTTGGTGCTTCCCCAGAGACAGGCACATGTACACTGGGTCTCGCTGGGGACCTTGAGGGTCCTGGGCCCCTGAGGTTTTCACGGCTTTGGGTTAAGAATCCTTGTTCTTGTCCGTATCACTGCTTAGATGACATCACTCTAACTGTAGATGGCCGGGACACCTACGAGGAGGTGAAGCAGGCTGGGAGGTACAGGTGAGTCCTCACATGACCCTGCCGTTCAAGCGCAGGGCTTGGGGTTCCCTCCCAGCTTTCTTTGCTGGTTCCCAGTGGCCCATGAGGGCAGCGTCTGGGCCCAGGACTAGTGTTTCTCATGGCCACGACTGGGAACCGGAGAGAGGGAGGTGCCGTCATAGTGTGGGGTCCCCACCTGTGGCCCCGGGGCTCCAGAGCAGTGCTGTGCTGGGGTGACCTTCGAGGTCGGGCTGTCCTGCGGTAACCACAGGCCTTGAGCAACTCTTGAATGGCTGGTGCCACAGGGCGCTGACTGTTTATCTTAATTAACTTCAACTTAAAGAACCACGTGGCTGGTGGCTCCTACAGGGGATGGTGCAGCCTGGAGTGCCCTTCGCGGGCACAGCACAGCCAAGCAGGACCTGGGCATGAGGGCAGCCAGGGGCAGGTGGAAGAAGGGGGACCAGAGCCACCACCCCAGTCTAGCCTGCCCACCCACACCGCACACTTGGGGTCTCTTCTGTGCTCTTGTCAATCCCTCAGTCATGGAAAGCACAGTGGCCCCCCACGTCTTGGTCTAGGTTTTCTGCTGTGGCCAAGACAGAGCAGCCATGGGTTTTGCCCTGAGCAAGACTGCCAGTGTCCCTAGGTCGTGTTAGTTGGAGGCCAAGCCTCAGGAATGTGTCCCAATCCAATGCCACCTCTGTCCCCCAGGGAATGCAAGCGCACACAGGGAGTGTCCACCACAGACCTTGTGGGCCGCATGCTGCTGGTGACCAAGGCCCATCACAGCAGCCAGGTGAGGGGGGGCACTGAATCCCTGAGGTCCCGGGTGGAGGGTGCTGTGGGGAGGGAGGGAGCCCCTCTCTGCCTCCTCGGGGCCATCGTGCCCACCCTCCCTTCCCCTGCCTGCTCCTGGCTTGGCCACGTCTGAAGGGCAAGGCCCCTCAGCCCCGCTCTGCCCCTGTGCAGGAGATGTCCTCTGAGTACCGGGAGTACGCGGACAGTTTCGGCAAGGTGAGCGTGGCCCGTCTGCCCACCCCCAGGCACAGAGCTGCTGCTCGGCTGCCGTGGGGCCTCTTCCCCAGCCGCCCCGGCCACCCTTGGGCAAAGCCTAGCCCAGAGCCTCAGCCTCCGCTCTCCCTTCCTGGCGATGACCAGGTACTGACCGCCAGGCTGAGCCAGCTGGTGGATGCTGGGAGGGAGGGCAGGCAAGAGCTGGCTTTGGCTGGCCAGTCACAGCAGCCGCTACTGGAGGCAGAACAAGGACTGCCACGGACAGGTGGCCTCTAACCAAGCGGCCTGGCCCTTTCTCCCTTTGTAGCCCCCTCACCCGACATCTGCCGGGAACACACTTTCCTCAGAAGGCTTCTCCCAGGTGACCAGTCAGCGGCCTCAGGGTGCTGGGTGCCCCCGAGAGCTGTGTCTGCCGGCCACAGGGCTCTGCGCCTCCTCCCGGTGGTCCTTCGCCGGGCTGAGGTCATGTTGCTGCGGTGCCTGCTGTGGCCACAGGCTGGTGCCACGGTCCTGCCTGCTGCCTGGCCTGGCAGTAATGTGTCCCCTGCCCCTTCCTGGGACGGCAAGGGCCGCCGGGTTGCTGGCAGGCTCTGCAGGGGATTTGCAGCCCTGGCCTGCAGAGCAGCTGCAGCAGCTCCCAGGGCAGGCGGATGGGTGGGCACAGGCAGCCCAGGCTCAAGAGTGGCCCTGGGGCAGGGGCCAGGTGAGGCCTGGTAGGCCTCTGCTGGTGACCAGCTCCTCTCTTGGCTTACAGTGCCCTGGGGGGCGGAACCCTTGGACGGGGGTGTCCCAGTTTCTGCAGACATCGCAGAAGATCATCCAGTTTGCTTCTGGGAAGGAGCCGCAGCCAGGGGAGACAGTCATCTATGTGGCTGGCGCCTTCGACTTGTTCCGTATCCTCTGACCTCTGCTGCTTCACACCCACGCCACATGGGGCAGGACCTGGGCACCTCAGGGCTCCCCGACCGGGCTGGGATACAGGGGAGCAGCCATCAGCAAGGAGCAGGGTGGCGAGGCTGGTGGGCGTGAGCTGTCCTAGAAACCAGAGCACCTGGCTCCTGCAGGCTCTGCCCCCAACCCCGTCTGCGATGTTGCTTCTTGACCTGGGTGCAGACATCGGGCACGTGGACTTCCTGGAGAAGGTGCACAGGCTGGCAGACAGGCCCTACGTCATCGCGGGCTTGCACTTCGATCAGGTCACTGTCCCGTGCCACTCCCTCCCCTGGCGCCCTGGGTGGCTGGTGGGCTGTAGAGGCCCTCAAGGGGCTCCTGCCCTGGTGCTGGCACCGGCGGTCTCTGGAGGAACGAGGCCCCAGGTGCCTGGTGAAAACAAAGGAGACCCTGGGGCATGAGCTTGGGCTGTTAGGACCCAGGGTTGTCCTGCCCAGGGTGTCCCCAGGAGAGTGGTCACCTTTCCCGCCTTGCCACAAGGGACAGCTAAGAGGGCGCGTGCCCGCTTACTGTGGTCCTTGAGCTGAGCCCCCTCGCTCCGCCCCAGGAGGTGAATCACTACAAGGGGAAGAACTACCCCATCATGAACCTGCACGAGCGCACCCTGAGCGTGCTGGCCTGCCGGGTGAGCGCCCCACAGCCAGCCCTGGACGTAGGGGGTGGGGGTGTCCCCCGTCCCCCAGCGACTCCTTCCAGGGTCTCCCCGAGCCAGGGCACAGCGCTGCCCGGCAGCCCCTGTTGGGTCAGGCGGAAGAGGGGTGGTCGGGCCTCACCGAGGAGGCTGCCAGCCCAACGCTCTGCCCGTGTCCCCGCTCACGTGACCCTGAAGGCCTCAGCCCTGCGTCCGGGGCCATCTCCCAGCACCCTCTGGCCTGGCTTGCCAGGAGCGGGGACCAAGCAAGACGCCGTGCTCACTGTCCCCACAGTATGTGTCGGAAGTGGTGATCGGGGCCCCATACGCAGTCACATCAGAGCTCCTGAGCCACTTCAAGGTGAGGCTGGGGGAGGGCTGGGAGTGTCATGCAGCTGCCCCCAGGCAGGGCTCAGGAGGTACCTGGGCTGCGGAGGGGCAGGGCCAGCCCCCCAGGCCTCCCCTGGGGAGGGCACCTGACCCCCACTCCTCCTTCAGGTGGACCTGGTATGTCACGGGAAGACAGAGATCGTGCCTGACAGGGATGGCTCTGACCCGTACCAGGTGGGTTGTGCTGGCCCTCGCTGGGCGCAGGGGCTGCCATTTGGCACTTTCCAGGCATGTAATGCCCCCTAATGCCTGCCTGGAAAGTGGCACAGTGACCACTGTGCTCTGACTGCCTCGTGGGGTGAGGCGGCAGGAGCTGTTGCACCCATGGGCCCCGGGTGCTGGTCTCCCTCTGGGGCAGGGAAGCTGGGCTAGTCTCTGCGAGGTCGGGGGCGACCTCATCTCCCCCCTCCGGGCCTTCAGGAGCCCAAGAGAAGAGGCATCTTCTGTCAGATTGACAGCGGCAGTGACCTTACCACGGACCTCATTGTCCAGAGGATTATCAAGAACAGGTGAGGCCGGGCATGGTGGCGCATGCCTGTGGTCCCAGCACTCTGGGAGGCTGAGGCGGGAGGATCACTTGAGCCCAGGAGTTGGAGGCTGCAGTGAGCTATGATGACGCCACTGCGCTCCAGCCCAGGAGACAGCAAGACTGTCTCAAAAAAAAACCGGTGAGATGGGGGGTGCGTGTGTGACACCTTGCTGAGCTCATCCAGCCTGGCCCCCCAGGTTAGAGTATGAGGCACGAAACCAGAAGAAAGAAGCCAAGGAGCTGGCCTTCCTGGAGGCCATGAGACAGCAGGAGGTGCAGCCCTCAGCGGAGAACGATGGCAGCTTTTGACCTGGGGCTCAGTCGTGGAGAGCCCGCAGCCGGCCCGCCCTGCCTGCCCTGCTTCTGTGCATTGGGGTTTGGCGCTCACGGTTCTTAAGGAAGCTGCAGTGCCACCTCTCTAATTGTCCTGGCTAGGGGGACACTGGGGTTGGCAGGGACTCGGCCTCCCACCTGCCTGCAAGGTGCCTGTTTCGCTGCAGGTGCTCAGCCCTTACCGCTAAGCTGCTCAGAGAGGGCATCTGGCAGAGGGGAGCAGCCCAGCACACAGGACGGGCAGCGGCGGCCTGCACGTCTGTTTGCTTGCGTTCTCCATTCTACCGCCTGCCCACCCAGCTTTGGCGGGAGGTCCAGTGCAGAGGGCTTCAGGGAGTAGTGACCCAGGGGCGCCCCCTTCTCAGGGTGCAGCCCATGCCACCTCCCAAGTGGGTGCCCTCTGCCCCGTGGCTTGTCCCAGCGCTAGAAGCCCTACTCCCTGGCCAGCTCTGCTGCTCTCCACACGGGCTGCTCAGTCCTGCACCTCACTGGCCGCTGTCAACCTCTTCGGTACAACCTAATAAAGCCCGGTGGGCAGTGCTGTGTCAGGCCCCGCCCTGCTGGGAAGGATCAGGGACCCCCGTGCATCCCTGCTCCCACCATGCACCGGCAGGGAGGAAGACGGCGGGCAGCCTGGTGGCCAGTGGGCCCCCAGGCCCCACCCCCGTGCTGCCTCGGGCTGCCCCCAACCGCAGGGGACACTAGAAGAGGGATGGGCGGGAGCCCAGTTGGCAGATGGGGGGCTTGCCCCTGCAGCCCCTCTGTGGAGCCACCAAATCTCCATCTCCTGCAGCCAAGTCAGGGCCCCCTTGGCGCCGTGGGGAGCCCGCAGAGCTCTCATGGCAGCCTCGTGGTGTCTGGGGAGGCGATAGACTGGTTGGTCTTGGTGTGTTCACTGTGAGGACTGGGACAGTAAATTTTTTCAGCCCAACCCCCCTTCCCTCCAGGAAGGCTTCTGCCCTGAACCTGCTGAGCCATAGGGGCCAGCACCCCTGCAGCTCAGCCCCAGGGGCCTGCCCTTCCCTTCCCCTTCTTTCAATTCCGCTGTCTGAGGTCTGCCTCGTCCTGCGCAGGAGCCGCGTGCGTGCCAGCCCGGGGCCTCCGCCTGCTGTCCCAGCCCCAGCCCCACTGGGCCCCACCTTCAGGAGCAGAGTGGTGGCGGCACTCCCACGCTCAGACCCCCGGACGGGGGGCTCCCCTGTAGACTTACACGGACGAGGGCACAGAAGCCAGCTGGCCGCTGGACGAGGGGGAGGGCAGAGGTGGGACTGGGCACTATGTCCTCAGCAGCAGGTGGGGCCCAGGTCAGTGCCCCAGAGACGCGCATGCAGGTGAGGTGAGAACCCACCCATGGCCCTGGGCAGGGGGCGGTCATGTCCAGCCACAGGTGCCCCACAGGCTCAGGATTCCTTCCCTGCACCCTCGCACTGAGCCCAGCCGGAGGCTCCGTTCATGCTCTGAAGGAGACTAAAGTCAGCTTCTGAGCGTTTGGTTTGGAGACCTGGAAGCCCCCGAGTGTGGGGTGGGAACCTACCTGCCAAGTTTGCCTGAGTGGTGTAGGGGGAGGGCAGGCCAGGGCTCCCGCAGGTGGAACCAGGGTTGTGCCCAGCTTGGTGGGTGGGTCTGGTGGCCCAAGCCACCCTGGTGTGGTCCTCTTGTCCCCTCCACGACTCCCCTGCCATCCCTCCAGCAAACCTCACTCCTGGGCCGGCTTTACTTATTTATTCATTTAGCCATTTACTGTGGGTGGGTGGTGTAGGACAGTAGTATTTGGGGGGCCATCCCGTGCAGGAAAGGGTCTGGGGGACCCCCAGCGGGACAGTGGCGTCAGGGGGGTGGGCAGCGGGGGCCAGGCGAGGTCCTGGCGTCAGGTGGGGGGCTCAGGCCCCGCGGCAGTCGGCTGCGCGCAGCGACAGGAAGACGTCCGCCTTGCACTGGAAGGTCCCGCGGCCGTCGGGGAGTCGCTCGCAGCTCCGCAAGTTTGGGGTGACGTCCTTGACACACACGGCCTGGGGTGGGCGTGAGGAGGCTAAGGGGGCCGCCTGCGTCCCCACCCCGAGACCCCCGGCCCGAGGCTCGTCCGCGCCTGCGCCCCAAGCTGCACTCACGAGGCTCCGCAGGCTGGGGCGCAGCTCCGGGACGGTGGCGGCAGCGGCCAGGGGTGTCCCCCCGACGGAGGGCTCGGAGCGCCGCGCGTACGGGGACCTGCGGAAGCCGGACAGCAGCCCCGCGGCCCGGCCCACCGAGTAGTAGCTGGGTCCGGCCGCCTGCTTGTACCACGCGCGGCCGGGCGGCGCCAGCAGCAGGCACAGCGCCAGGGTGGCAGCCGCCAGCGTCGCGGGCCGGGCCATGGGGACGCGGGCAAGGGGCGTCGGGGCTTGGAGCGGCCGCCGCCTGCGCCGCGCCTTATATCTTTGGCGGGGCGGGGCGGAGGTGCGGGGGGCGGAGATGCAGGAGGAACAGGCTGGGGGTGCGCGCAGAGGACCTGTCGTGCCTCCCCGTCCCAGGGGAGAAGCTGCGCCCGTCCGCGCCCGCAGGCGCAGGGGAGGCTGGAGCCCGCCAGGGGTCTGGCGCTGGTGGGAGCGCGGCGCCCCCTCCCGCGCCCCGGCCCGCCGGCCGTTGCTTCAGGCCTTGCTTGGGCTGCGGGGGAGCAGGGTTAGTGGGCATGAGTCCCCAGCCAGCCGGAGGGTGCACCAGCCCTGGGAGTCTCCCCGCCCGCAGGAGTGCCCGGCGGTCCTGAGGCTGGAGAGAGCCCAGGGAGCGACTTCTCCCACCCTAAAGGGGAACAGACCTCAGGGCCCAGGGCTTTTTGATAAAGTCCACAGGAGGGTATGGGGCCGTCATGTTTCGTGCCCATGGTGGGTGTTCTGCTAACAGGGCTGCTACCATCCGGGTCTTCTAGGAGGGCTGTGAGGCCAGGTCCCAGCCTCAGGCAAACCAGACCTAGAGACCATAGGCTGCAGGTCCCTGGCCTGGGATGTGGAAGCGCCCGCCCTGCCCAGCTCTGCTCTGGGGCAGGGTGGCCCGGGAGCCTCTGTGTTTGTGTGCACCTTGAGCCTTCTCTCCATTCACTCAGCAAACAGCCCAAACGCTCTGGTCACAAAGGGAAGGAGATGCTGCCCAGCGGGAGGTCAGGTACCTCCAGCCAAGGCCCTGGAGGAGAACAGGACACAGTCCTGCATCAAGGGAAATGGAGCTCGTGGGGGTGCTCCCGGGCGACAGTAGTGGGGAGGCCCAGGAGCTCTGTGCCCACCTGGGGAGGGTGGCTGAGGGACAGCCTCGGGCAGAGGCTCCAGGGCTGGGGAATCCCAGGTCCACATGGCCTTCGGGTGGCCACGTGTCCAGCTCCAGAAGAACAGAGGACCCCGCTGGAACCCAGGAATCCCAGAATTTAAGGAATCCAAGTGGCTGGGAAGCTGAGGGAGGCTGTGTGGCCACACCAGAGTTAAGAGGTGAGCCTGGCGCCTCAAAGCACACAGTCCTTGTGGGCACTTCTGTCACGTGGGGAGAGGTTCCAGAGAGAGGACGAAGTTTCAGCATACTCCCTTGGAGAAGTTCCTCAGGAGCGTGCAGGGCACTTGAGAGAGGGGAGGCGGCAGGAACAGGCCAGGATGCACGTGACGCCCAGACCTTGCGGGGGCTGACCCCAATAAGTCCTTGGAACCCCAGTCAGGGAAAGCTCTGGAAGCTCCAAATCCATAGATCTCACCCCCCTCTGCAGCCCTGGGAGGCCACACCCATCTGCGAGGCGCAGTCTTACCTTCTGAGGTGCGGGTCCCCTGGGTTCCAGGGGGCAGGTGCCAGTGCCCAGATCCAGAGTCACTGTGGATGGACAAGGGGCTTCGCAGTCCGGCCTGCACTAGCGAGATGTAACAGTGCTTGCAGAGCTGGCAGGAGCCAGCCCTCCCCTGGGGTGGCACTAAGTATCAAGCTTACTTGGTGGCCCCCAATTTCATGCTTTCCAAACATGCTGGTCACAATGCGTCTTCCTTTAGATGCTGTTGTCCCTGGTGCCTGTCTTTCTGGGCGAGGGGCAGGTGACCTTCGTGTTCGGTGAGGGCCTCCTCTCCTTTGGGCAGGCTGACAAAGCTCAAAGCTCACAGCCAACTCAGTGCCACACAGGTGCCTGGGAGGCTCCGCCCCTCCCAGGCGACGCCTGGTCTATTTCCCAAAGTGCTGTGAGGACAGGGACGATGAGTAGAAGTGGCTGCAGTGGCACGGGGCACTGATCCCTAGGGCTGCTGGGGACACAGCCCTGGCAGTCTGCATCCAGAAGCTGCCGGAGACCCCCAGGGCTGGGGCTGCTGCGCCCCTTGTGGCCACCACCCCCCCTGTGGCCACCACCCCTCAGGAGTTGTGGGGAACAGAGGTGCCCAAAGGAGCCTCCCGAAGGCCATCCTCCTCTGACACACATCCTGATGAAAGGACATAGATCGGCCCCTACACTGGGGAGGCCCAGCCCCGACTAGGATCTACCTTCAGTCCAAGCGAGGGATAAGGGACAGAGAGAACAGATGGCCCTGGCAGCCTCGGGTACCCGGCCTCCTCAGTGTGACCAGAGCCTGCTCAGGGACAGCTGCCTTCTGCCAGGAGACACCAGGAGCAGCGGCTGCCAGCTGTGCCCAGCCAGGGTCCCACAGAACTGGCCTGAAGGAGGGTCCTTGGGCCCCAGCTGGGCGTCCATCAGGGGAGAGGGCACAAACACACCCCAGGGCCTTTGCCCAGACAGGCCCTGCCCCAGGCCCCACTGTCTGGTCCTCCCAGAGTTGTGACTCAGGGTTTGAGGCACTGAGATGTTTATTCATGAGTTTTCATATAAACACACACTCAGAGGCCTCCGGCAAGGTTCCAGTAGTTTAATGAGTTTTACTTATTGGATGAAAGTATCAACATTGTGATGGAAAACAGATGCAGCTCCAGTCCTTTTTCCAACCCTGTCACAGGTCCCCTGGGGGCCTGTCCCCAGCAGAGACCACAGCCACTGGTCCCGTCCGGAAGACCATGGGACCGGGTCTCAGGATGCCACATGAGGTGAGGGGCAGGCGCCCTCACTCCTTGAACTTCCACTCCTGGCGGCACATGGGGCAGTGCTGCTGGGCCTGCTGCGCGTGCAGCCACTTGAGGATGCAGTGCATATGGAAGCAGTGGGAGCACTGGCCCCACACCAGCGGGCAGTCGTCGCCGGGCACCTTACCTGCGGGGCAGGAGGGGACAGCTGAGCGAGGGCTGGCCACACAGAACACGTGACAAGCCAGGCAGGGATGGAGGCACAGGGACCCCAAAATAGCAGATGGGGTGCCAGAGCCTCTTTTGTTTCAGAGGAGACAGAAACCCAGACCGGTACCCACGCAGTTACCCGACCAGCCTGCCTTCACGCAAACACGCGGTGCCAAGGGCTTTGAGAGACGAGGCCTCACCCAGGCGCCACAGCGGTCGTCTCCCCCGGCCTCGGCAAGTGACGCTCAGGCAGGGCCCAGGGGCCTCCTCTGAGTCCGCGTCAGGAAGGAGCAGCTCTGGCCTGGCCCACCAGATGTCCCTGTGTCATCCCACCTGCAGACCCCTGATCTGTGATGCTGTGGTCGAGGCACCAAGGAGACACCCATCTGGGTGGTCAGTTAGTCTCTTGATCAAGGGCAGGAGGGGTGGGGCCCTGGGACAGGATCCAGTGCACTACAAGGGCGTGGGGACACTGTGGTGTTCACAGGCTGGTCCCAAAGGGCCCTGCCAGCAGCACGGCACTGCCTTCCATCTTGGTCCTGTCTGTAGCCTGGCCCGCCTCCAAGGCCAGGCTGCAGGGTTTGACCCCTGTGCCTAGAAATACTCTCCCTGTGCCTTGGAGAGGGCCTGGTGCAGAGAAGGACGCTCCATATCACCCACAAGCAAGAGAAACGAGCGTCCCTGATTTCGAAGAACCTGGAAAACCTAATGGAACAGCTGGTGCCAGCAGAGCACAGCAACTCCCCCTGGACCCAGCTCCCACGTTGGGGTCCTCATGCCTACTTCCAGCCCCTTCTAAGACCCCTCTCCCTGCCAGGGCCTTTCCAGCCTCAGCAGAACTCTGTGTGAAATCACATCTTTCTGGCCGGGCGTGGGGCTCACGCCTATAATCCCAGCACTCTGGGAGGCTAAGGCGGGAGGATTGCTTGAGCTCAGGAGTTTGAGACCAACCTGAGCAAGAGTGAGACCCCGTCTCTACTAAAAATAGAAAGAAATTGGCCAAACAACTAAAAATAGAAAAATTAGCCGGGCATGGTGGCGCATGCCTGTAGTCCCAGCTACTCGGGAGGCTGAAGCAGGAGGATCGCTTGAGCCCAGGAGTCT